TAACAAATTACATCCTTATTCTTATATTAAAAAAATGAAAAACTAGCCTGCCCTCGAGATATTAAGGGTCTGTTTGGTTCATTATTCTGACACTTTTTAGAATAATATTTTAAAAAAAGTTAAATTTGGTGAGTATTACGATGTAGGATTTAGAAATTAACAAAAATATCCCTATGCTTGTTTATTTACTAAACACTCTTATAATAAAATATTAAAAGTTAACAAAAACACACTCAATCCACCCATTAAATACAGACAGTCGGTCACCACCGTCGGAGGGTGGTCGGAGCCTCCGTATTGGCACATGACTGGCTGGATCTTGTCGGTCGTGCGTTGATATGGCCTTTTTCGGCCAGATCTACGGTGGATCTGGCGTTTACGACGGTCAAAGATATGATCGTCATTGACGACTGGCTACGACCAAATATTTGACATTTTTTTGTCAGATCTACCATGGATCTGACTGAAAAATGCTAGATCGGCCCACTACCTGTCAGATTCAGTCGGTAGTGCATCATTATATCAGATTTCGGCCAGCTTTCGACAGTGGTGGCCAGAATCTGGTAAATGTAGGTTATTGGGGTGTTTTTGTAATTTTTGAAAAAAATTGGGGGTGTTATAAATTAATAAATTTATAGGGGTTTAAATAAAATTAAATAATATAAAATAATATTTTCATAATAAACTAATTTTACTGTTTAACTTTATTAGAAAAAACCAAAATAATATTCGGAAGAGTGAAACAAGCGAGCCTAAATGCTTAAATATTTTCATTTATCCTCTAACATATGAATATACATGCAAAACAATAAAAAATGATTTAATATTTTTTTTTAAATAGTATAGAAAATGAATAATTTGAAATATTTATTAAAAGAAAATGGAAAAAAAATATAAAAGGATAAAAAAGGGGGGGACTTAAAAGAAACGCTACGCTTTGTAGATTGTACTGGCCAAGTACGGACTTAAAAATAACGCAACGCTGTGCTGATCTTGAGTTCAATCCTCAACAATCAACATAAACATAAAATAAAAACACCCAGCACGTCTGTAAGACGGTGTACAAGTGTAAACCCTTGCTTCTCTCTCACGCCCTTCAGATCCTCGGTGAGTACCTCTCTCACTTATTTCACATGACAACTCATACATGTAATTCCTGGTTCGCAGCTAGGGTTTTTTCATTTTATTTATTTTTTTAATATATTGATTCATTGAAGCAATGCGTGACTTAAAAAAAAAAATTGAAAAGTTTTATTAAAAGGTAAAAAAGAAAAGTGAAAAGTTAGAAGTTAAAAATTAAAAAGTTAAGTTATCTTTTAATTCAAGTTTTTCCAATTCCCAACTCCTCTTACATGCGGGTCTGAATTTGGAGTGATTGTAATCCCTTTTTGTAAACTTGTGTATTTATTTTTGTAGAGTTGTGATTGAGCTCTAAATTTATGTAGAATATTTTTGATAGATTTGTGATTGTTGTAAATGATAATCATATTTTCCTATGATTTGCATTAAATTTCGATAGGATTTAAGATATTTCTTATACAATGAGCCTTAATTGTACATAATTCTATAATTGTCTTTGCAGGCTAACGATGATTTTGAGCATAAATGACAGTTTTGAGCGTAAATTGCATAACTTGAGCTTGGAAACAGAATGACCTAATTTTAGAATTTGGAAAGCTAAGAACCAGAGCTACAAACTTCAGGTTTTGAGTTTTTTTCTAATTCTGACTGGACAAGGGTGAAAACTTGGCTTGAAGTCATGACAGATGTGGAAACAGAAGAAAAAACGTCTTTGAGGTGCTTCAGTATTTCTGCCATAACTTGAGCTTTAGACCTCGGATTGTGCTGATTCTTGAACGAGTAGAAAGATAATTTTAAGGACTATAATTCATATGTTTAACACTTTTCCAGATTCAGACTCTTTCATGCTCAAATTTGGCCTGAAATATTCTCGCCGTTATAAGGAAAAAGCTTCAACGCAGCGAAACTGCATCAGATGTGAAAATAAAATGACGCGTTTTGGCTTGCTAGGGTTTCGTCCTTAAGTGAAAGAGGTATAAATTAGCATGAAAATGAAAGAAAAATGGTTTTGGTTCGTCTTTAGAAGGCAGCTCTTGGAAGGAGAATATTATGAAGATTTGGGCTTCAAATGAGAGAAGATTTTTCCATCTTTTACTTGTTTTCAAGATGAATCTTGATTCAGTTTGTTTTGTTATTTTTTTTGTTTTGTTTGAGTATGAATTGAGTGTTTGCTAGGGTTTGATGTAACCTTGATACAATGATTCAAATTTATATGAATCGATTTACTTTGAATTTTAATTTCATGATTGAGGGTTTATCTCTTGTGTTAATGACTTTTTGATACTTGATCAACATAAATGTGTGTTGTTGACAATGAGACTAAGAAGTGATTGATTGTGCCTCTTGGGATAAATACCGTAGATTAAACAATGCTAGAGATAGCTTTACAAATTATGAATCTAGATAGAATTCTGTAAAGTTAAAAAACTTTGAACTATTATCTTCATTTGTTGGGTGCAGAAGTTAATATGGATAAGTAGGAAAATAGCCTGAGAAGTATGTTTTACAACTTAGGGAATCGTTTCAATCAAGGATTAGAACTTGGGTAATAGATTCTATGATTTGGGTTAGCGTATCTAGGTGAAATCAACACCCTAGCATTTTTTAGCATTTTTTTTAATTAGTTAAAGTTATTGGGTTTTGCTTTAATTTCAATAATTCATTTATATTTCTTAAATTGTATTTAGTTCGTTAATTTTCTATCAATCCAATTTTGTTGTTTCATTAAGACTTAAACTAGATAAATCGGTACTTAGTAACACTATCCTCGTGGGAACGATACTGTACTTATACTTTATTACTTTTTGCCCTAGTGCACTTGCTACATTTGTATGTTGTTCAAAAATGCGCATCGTAATCTCTTTAATTATATTGGATTTTAATGGATCATTGATTCTCGTGGTATTTTTATTTCTCCACATTGAAGAAGTTTTTCACGTAACAATTTTCTTGTGTTCCTTGTAATGTTTTTTCTTATGTTTTCACTAGTTGATTGGCAAACAGTGGCAGAGCGAGGGGGCCTCCCTAGGCAAAAATCCTCGGTCCGTCATGCCTACTCTGTCACTTGTGCAATAACTTGTGTAACAAATTACATCTTATTCTTATATTAAAAAAAATGAAAACTAGCCTGCCCTCAGATACTAAGTTTAAATATTTCATTTATCCTCTAATATATGAATATACCCTAGTTAGTAATACGGGTCGACAAAAAAAAAAGATACGGAAATTTTATAGGTATATACGGCAAACGGTAAAAAATACGTTTTATAAAATTCGGTCAAAAATTCAGATACAGAAAAAATACGATACGAGTTATACGGGTTTAATACGGTGTATTGTCAATAATACTTTTGAAGAATATGACAATATCAATCTTAGTTTTAACACTTATGAATTACCTGGTTAAAATACTATATCGGTGCTTTCATTTCTATATAAGTGTTTGTTTTAAGAAGTAAACCTTCAGTTTTAATATTAAAATTAAATCCTAATTATATATTTAAGTTAAAATGATCGAGAGTCGTAAATGAAAAACTATCATTATTTTATTTACATTATTTTTTATTGATCTAAAGTTAATTTATATTAGAAGGAGACATTATGAATTTATATAGTATTTTTAGATATAAGGTACCCAAATCTAACATCATCAATCTGAAATAAAAGATTTGAAGTTGTGGGTATATCAAATTATTTTTTAATTATTAATTAATCAATTAATGAATGAATAACAAATACAAGAAGATCTTAAAAGAAGCAGAAAAATTTATCGTTGTGAACCCTCGTTAAAATCTCTCCACGTAGGCACAGGGACCGACTCACCATCCAATGTTGCGATTCTGCAGCTTCGCCTCAAAGATTTTCTTTCAAAAACATCACAAACAAAACAGTACTGAATCTCAAAGTCAAAGTGCAAAGACCAAAAACTATCACTTACTCTTCTCCTCATTCTCAAACACTATCACAATAGGATTTTGCTGCCGTGACCCGCCGACACCACCATACCCATCTCACTTTCAAACACTATTACCTCCTCATTCTCACTTTCTCACATCCCATACCCATCACATACCCGCCGCCGCCGCCTTCTCATCTCTCTCTCTCTCCGTACTCCAACGCATGAAACCCAGCGGCCGACGCCCAGCGTACAACTACCGCGCGACTCCACAGGTAGCTTCCACTATCTGCAACATGTGTGTTTTGCTGGATAAACTCTTGTGGATTATGTTTGTTGTGTTGGTTGGGAGATTGCTGCCCATCTGGTGTGAAATTTGATTGGAAAATGTTTGTTTAGGAGTTTTGACTTGGAAGTGTTGAATGGATTGTGAGAATTTGTTTGTTGTGGAATTCGCCACTTTCACCTTGCCCACCACCTGCTGATAAATTGGCCCAGACCACTCTCACATCATCGTTTTGTTTTGCCTCAGCCTTGTGCTGTTTTGTATTTCCCCAAAATCAAAACCCACCGCCCACCATTTCCTTGATGCAAACACATCTAAAATCTAAATCTCAATCTCGTTCTCTTCGTTCCTGGAGTTGTGGTGAGGGCAAGAACCAAGTCACCAACAAGTACACCTCATTCAACTTCAATCACGTGCTCGAAAAAAATATCTCTCCCGCCACTCCGCCACCAACTCAACTAGACAACCTTCCTCTTCCTTTCTTATTCTTCAATTGCTTCTTCAAATACTAATAACAAAGCTCTGTTACCTCTCCATCCCAGAAGCCATGGCCGCATGCTTGTTCGTGAATAACAAAGCTCAGTTTTTTTTTCTAATAATTCGCAAAAAATACGTGAATTAACATATATTCATATTATATGCGTATAATTTGGTAGCCTTATAAAAATAGTAAATACATGTTTAGTATGAATTAAATTATTGAATAATTTAATATAAAAACGTATATAAGAGAAGTTGGAGTCAATATCTGCCATGCCTGTCTATAAAGATAAAAGTCATGAGGAGCTGAGATGGGAGGATTATCAGTTGGGAGGTAAAGGTAAGTTGATGAAATCTTAGAAAATCAGTAGTTCTTGTTCCAATAAGTGGTGACATTGGCTGATTCATTTATTTTCCACTTTGCAATTCCAAATTTCAGGCGGATCACTTCCTGCTGGTCAGTTTGCTGGGGGAATTAGCTTTGGTGTATCAGCTGCTCCATCAAGCCCTTTCGCTCCTTCATCAGTATTTTGGCAGTCAAATTTTGGGGGCCAATGTGGTGGAAGTAGAGTGGCTACTTACACACCTACGACTGAAGCAGATACTGGCAGTGGTAAGTTGATGAAATCTGGAAAATTAGTAGTTCTTGTTCCTATAAGTGGTGATATTGGCTTATTCGTTTATTTTCTACTTTACAATTCCAAATTTCAGGTAGAGCACTTCTTGCTGGTCAGTCTGCTGGGGGATATCAGCTTTCTCTAAACTTAGAATTGAAGATGATGATAACAAAATTGGATAATTTAAGATAATAATTGGGTATGAACCCCCAAATATTATGCTTTTCTTTCAAGTGTTATATTATTAATGCTTTTCCTCTTTAGTCTAGAGTGTTATAATCCAAAACTTTAAGGGTGCGTTTGGTTTATTATTTTGGATAGGATTTTGGGGATAGTATTGGGTTGTTGGATAGGGGAGTATTACGAGGTAAATTTTAAAAATTTATGAAAACGCCCTTAGGTTTACTAATTTAATTAAAGACCCTAATATGTAAAATGACAAAAACACCCCCAGAATTTTTCGTGCCAGATTCCGGCCACCACCGCCGAAATCTGGCCGAAAAATTTCGTTACGGCACAGACCAGTCGGATCTGTGCCGTAACACGTCGTTATGGCCTTTTCCGGCCAGATCCACCACGGATCTGGCCGGCAAGGGCCACATCTACGATCTGTTATGGCCGTCGACGGCCAGACAAGGCCAAACGACGGCCATCTTTGGCTGTCAGCGACGGCCAAAGATGTGGCCGTCGTTTTCGGTCAACGACGGCCAGGATTTGGCCTTCGTTGACCGTCAACGACGACCATTTCTTTGGCCGTCGCTGACGGCCAGATCGGTGAACTTCCGGCCATTTTTGGTTGGAAGTTAGGCCGTTGTACAGATTCCGGCTATCACCGACGGTGGTTGCTAGAATCTGACAAGTTGGGTTGATGGGGGTGTTTTTGTTAATTTTTAAACTTTTTTCATGAGGTATTTAGTGAAATTAATAACCTTATGAGGTCTAAAAGTAATTAAAAAAATAGAGTAATATTTCTGGAATAATGTGCCAAACATTATTTGGAGAATAGGATCCAGAATATGGATAAAAATACTAACCCAAACATAGCCTAAAATGTTTTCTTTAGGAATGAGACAAAGTATAATTCAATTTCAAATTTGAGAAGAATTATATATATGTATAATTTAATTTAATTATTATAATAATATAACCTTCTTACCAGTTTGTAAGAAAGTTATATTATTATAATTTAATTTCAAATTTGAGAAGAATTGTAGGGGTGTTAGTCGAGCCGTTCGTGAGCGGCTCCGGCTCGGCTTGAGGAAAGCTTGAGCGGCTCGTCGTAGCCTCGTAGGTGGTGAATCGAGTTTGAGTTTCTTGATAGTCGGCTCACCAAGCTTGTGAGCTCAAATCGAAAGGGTGATGTGATAGTTTCACAACTATTGGGGGGTATATAGAACTTACCAGTTTGTAAAAATGACAAACACAACCTTATTCCCAAATATGTAAAAATCAAATTTGAATTTGAATTAGGACATAATTAAAAACCCTAAATTGCGACTTTGTGAATCCTCTGCCAATCCAACACCGTTTGTCAACGTGGAGTGTCGGTCTCGTCGCCTTGTTCGTCGACACAGATCGCTTTGTTTCCTTGCCGCCTCATCTCGTCCACATCGTAACTTCTCTTGTGGATTTTCTTCATCTAGGTATGTCGATTTGGGATTTATGGAGCGGCAAATAATTAGTGATTATTTGTTTCTTCTTATCATTGTTCTTGATTTGTAAGAGAATGGAAATCTAAGATATAAGAATGGAGTTCTGGGAATGGAAGAAACTGTGATCATTACTAGTTTAAGATTGGTTTCGTTTACTGGAAGAGAGTGAAGATATGAGAAGACATTGCTGGTAGAAAAGATGGCTCTATGAATTGTAGGCGATGATGTTGGGTTTCGGCACTTTCGACCATGGTGGATCGAGCAGGTATTGCTCGAGCATGAGCTCGCTTTTTCTATGTCGAGCTGAAGCTCAATATCTCAAGCTTGGTCGAGCTTAATATTGTAGTAGCCGAGCCAAGTTCGAATAGCCAAAGCTCGGCTTGTTTACACCCACCTACTCTCAGAGGCGGACCCAGGCCCCTTGAGGGTAGGCCCAGGCCTGCCCTCTACTTTAAAAAAAAAAATTGAAAAGTTTTATTAAAAGGTAAAAAAGAAAAGTGAAAAGTTAGAAGTTAAAAAATTAAAAAGTTAAGTTTTATCTTTTTTATATTCAAGTTTTTCTTCCCCAATTCCCAACTTCCCTCTTACATGCGGGTCTGAATTTGGAGTGATTGTAATCCATCTTTTTGTAAACCTTTGTGTATTTTATTTTTGTTAGAGTTGTGATTGAGCTCTAAATTTATGTAGAATATTTTTGATAGATTTGTGATTGTTGTAAATGATAATCATATTTTTTCCTATGATTTTGCATTAAATTTCGATAGGATTTAAGATATTTCTTATACAATTTGAGCCTTAATTGTTACATAATTCTATTAATTTGTCTTTGCAGGCCTAAACGATGATTTTGAGCATAAATGACAGTTTTGAGCGTAAATTGCATAACTTGAGCTTGGAAACTCAGAATGACCTAATTTTAGAAGCTTTGGAAAGCTAAGAACCAGAGCTACAACTTTCAGGTTTTGAGTTTTTTTCTAATTCTGACTGGACAAGGGTGAAAACTTGGCTTGAAGTCATGAACAGAATGTTGGAAACAGAAGAAAAACGTCTTTGGATGTGCTTCAGTATTTCTGCCATAACTTGAGCTTTAGACCTCGGATTGTGCTGATTCTTGAACGAGTAGAAAGATAATTTAAAGGACTATAATTCATATGTTTAACACTTTTCCAGATTCAGACTCTTTCATGCTCAAATTTGGCCTGAAATATTCTCGCCGTTATAAGGAAAAAGCTTCACCGCAGCGAAACTGCATCAGATGTGAAAAATAAAATGACGCGTTTTGGCTTGCTAGGGTTTCGTCCTTAAGTGAAAGAGGTATAAATTAGCATGAAAATGAAAGAAAAATGGTCTTGGTTCGTCATTTAGAAGGCAGCTCTTGGAAGGAGAATATTATTGAAGATTTGGGCTTCAAATGAGAGAAGATTTTTCCATCTTTTACTTGTTTTTCAATGATGAATCTTGATTCAGTTTGTTTTTGTTATTTTGTTTTGTTTTTGAGTATGAATTGAGTTGTTTAGCTAGGGTTTGATGTAACCTTGATACAATGATTCAAATTTATATGAATCGATTTACTTTGAATTTTAATTTCATGATTGAGGGTTTATCTCTTTGTTTAATGACTTTTTGATACTTGATCAACATTCAAATGTGTGTTGTTGACAATGAGACTAAGAAGTGATTGATTGTGCCTCTTGGGATAAATACCGTAGATTAAACAAATGCTAGAGATAGCTTTACCAATTTATGAAATCTAGATAGAATTCTGTAAAGTTTAAAAAACTTTGAACTATTAATCTTCATTTTGTTGGGTGCAGAAGCTTAATATGGATAAGTAGGAAAATATAGCCTGAGAAAGTATGTTTTACAACTTAGGGAATTCGATTTTCAATCAAGGAATTAGAACTTGGGTAATAGATTCTATGATTTGGGTTAGCGTATCTAGGTGAAATCAACACCCTAGCATTTTTTTTAGCATTTTTTTTTAATTAGTTAAAGTTATTGGGTTTTGCTTTAATTTCATTATAATTCATTTATATTTTCTTAAATTGTATTTAGTTCGTTAATTTTCTATCAATCCAATTTATTGTTGTTTCAATTAAGACTTAAACTAGATAAATCGGTACTTAGTAACACTATCCTCGTGGGAACGATACTGTACTTATCACTTTATTACTTTTTGCGACTAGTGCACTTGCTACATTTGTATGTTTGTCAAAAATGCGCATCAGTAATCTCTTTTAATTATATTGGATTTAAATGGATCATTAGATTCTCGTGGTATTTTTATTTCTCCACATTGAAGAAGTTTTTCCACGTAACAATTTTCTTGTGTTTCCTTGTAATGTTATTTTCTTATGTTTTCACTAGTTGATTGGCAAACAGTGGCAGAGCGAGGGGGCCTCCCCTAGGCAAAAATCCTCGGTCCGTCATTGCCTACTCTAGTCACTTGTGCAAATACTTGTGTAACAAATTACATCCTTATTCTTATATTAAAAAAAATGAAAAACTAGCCTGCCCTCAAGATACTAAATGTTTAAATATTTTCATTTATCCTCTAATATATGAATATACCCTAGTTAGTAAATACGGGTACGACAAAAAAAAAAGATACGGAAATTTTATAGGTATAATACGGCAAACGGTAAAAAATACGTTTATAAAAATTCGGTCATAAAATTCAGATACAGAAAAAATACGATACGAGTATATACGGGTTTAATACGGTGTATTGTCAATAATACGTTTTGAAGAATATGACAATATCAATCTTAGTTTTAACACTTTTATGAATTACCTGGTTAAAATACTATATCAGGTGCTTTCATTTCTATATAAGTGTTTGTTTTAAGAAGTAAACCTTCAGTTTTAATATTAAAATTATAAATCCTTAATTATATATTTAAGTTAAAATGATCGAGAGTCGTAAATGAAAAGCTATCATTTATTTTATTTACATTATTTTTTATTGATCTAAAGTTCTAATTTTATATTAGAAGGAGACATTATGAATTTATATAGTATTTTTAGATATAAGGTACCCAAATCTAACATCATCAATCTGAAATAAAAGATTTGAAGTTGTGGGTATATCAAATTTATTTTTAATATATTAATTAATCAATTAAAATGAATGATAATAACAAATACAAAGAAGATCTTAAAAGAAGCAGAAAAAATTTATCGTTGTGAACCCTCGTTAAAATCTCTCCACGTAGGCACAGGGACCGACCTCACCATCCAATGTTGCGATTCTGCAGCTTCGCCTCAAAGATTTTCTTTCAAACACCATCACAAACAAAACAGTACTGAATCTCAAAGTCAAAGTGCAAAGACCAAAAACTATCACTTACTCTTCTCCTCATTCTCAAACACTATCACAATAGGATTTTGCTGCCGTGACCCGCCGACACCACCCATACCCATCTCACTTTCAAACACTATTACCTCCTCATTCTCACTTTCTCACATCCCATACCCATCACATACCCGCCGCCGCCGCTCTCTCATCTCTCTCTCTCTCCGTACTCCAACGCATGACACCCAGCGGCCGACGCCCAGCGTACAACTACCGCGCGACTCCACAGGTAGCTTCCACTATCTGCAACATGTGTGTTTTTGCTGGATAAATCTCTTGTGGATTATTGTTTGTTGTGTTGGTTGGGAGATTGCTGCCCATCTGGTGTGAAATTTGNACTAAAAACCTAATTTAATATGGAATAGCAATCTACTTAGCAATATTCCAATACCAAACAAAGCATTTCAATTCAAATTTAAAAATTAAATTTGAATTCCATATTATAAAATTAATGTTAATATATATATAAATATACAATCGCACTAATTAATTTCCTTATAAAATTAAATATAGGCAACAATTTCAACAAGTTTAATTGCACTGTGAGATTATTTAAATGCCCTTTCATCTTAAAAGATGAAAATACCATTTCATCATAAATGAAGAAAACACCTCTCTCACTTATCCATCCTTAATTTGTCTTCTATGTGTGTGACCCGAAGGCTCCTCATCATATCGGAAGTAAGTAGTCTCGCGATTGACACCAATCAATTGTCTCACTAAACATAGACCAAGATTGACCTCTAGCAAGGCATCATGGCCACCTGATAGATTTGGATTCAGCGAAATAGCTTACCTATCAATGATATGGTTACTGTGCAATTCAATCCTTTTATCATTTATTATCTCATCAAAGGCCGAGGCATAGAAGCAGTGTCAACCTCGGATATCCTTGATATCTTAGTATTTGGTTATTAGACCAATGACTGGAATAGATTGGATTGAGCTACAACTCAATCGCATTACGACTATAGATTTAATGTCGTTGCCATCTACCGAATTACTTAGCGAGATAATTTCTCCCGTACCCGGGAGTGATGAATCCTCTATTAATCCACCATAGTCTTGATACACTTTTCGATGTAGCCAATCACTACCGTCTTGATAGCTCTGAATAGAACTACTTGGGCTAGTGTCAAACTACACTAATTGGTGCACAAGGCGCTTCGGTGATCTCAAGTCCAAGGATCACTTGCACCACCATTCGTTAGAGGATTTATTCCACAAATGCTAAGGTCACCATCTATGTGGAATCCTCTGGCAAGTATGTCCAATGAACTCGCCTATGACAAGCATCCATGTGTTGCACCAGGATGTCAGCAAACAACCTTGACAAGTGAGATCTGTCACTGTCTTTCGATAAGGTTGTTCAACATTATGATAGCCTTATCGTATTATTTGTGTCCTTAGTCAAAATAATACTGTGGCTTTAAACGGATCTAGAATGACCACTATATATGATAATAGGATTCTCACTATCGAGATTTGAAGCACTTGATGAGTGCTTGGAAGTGCACTCATACTTAGTGATTTTAAGGGTATTTTCTGTGAGAATTAGGTTTAATTGGTTAATTTTACTTAGTTTCTGTATCTCTTTTACTTTCTAGAATCATTGGTATGTTTTGTGAATTTTCAGGTATTTATGTGCTAAAAAATGAGGATTTCAAGTATGCACATTAAAGAGTAAAAAATCAGAATCGTGTGGGAACAAACAGTTCGAGAATCGGAGCTTAAACGAAGAAGTTATGGATTTTTTAAGATTGTTCATTACAGAAAAACTATTCCCATGCCACAGCATAAAAAAGTTGTAAAATGGACATAAACTTCATGCCGCGGCACAATGCGGGAAATTTATGTTCGGAAATTTTTCTACCAGAACATGCTGAACGAAAATGATCATAACTTGAGCTACACAACTCCAATCGACCTGGTTCTAGTGGCGTTTTAAAGCTAAGAGATAGAGCTACAACTTTTTGATCGTGGCCCATTTAGACCTGAAAGATGGTTAAAAATGGAGACAAAAATTAAATTAGTGCTTGGAGATGTGCATATTCGTTATTATGCGTTTTTAATTGAAGTATAACTTTTTACCATAATACCCTCATGACTTTAATATTATAAATAGATGTCCTTAGCAATATTTTAGGGGGCTAGGGTTTATAATATCAAATATAATTAGGAAGAGGCAAGGAGAGGAGATCTTACCTAGGGTTTCATCTTCTTTTTCTTGTACTTTATGGTTTTCAAGATTTTGAGGTTTGATTTCCTTATGATCATGTGTAACTAAATACTTTTCTAGGGATCCAATGTAGCCTAATAAGAAGGTTTTATGTCTTTATTAATTTTATTTGTCTTCTCAATCAATTGCAATTCTAGTTTTATTCATTATCATTTATTCAATCTTTAATTGATGTTATTGCTTGATCACCTTTAATGTTAATTAATTGATTGTGTGAGACAAGGTTAGACTACACACCTTAGCTAATCTTGAATAGCTTGTGTGAATG